AGAATTTGGAACTCCTGTCTGGGAGATAAGAGAGTATTTTGCATGTTGGGAGGATATGCTAGCTGATAATGATTAACAACAAGAATAGCTACTGTGCACGTCCCTTTTTCATTGTTGTAAGCCTCGGTTGATCCTTACTTATCCAAACATTGTAAATGGGAGCGTCTATACCCCGGACACGCTACGGGTACAAATAGCTAACTAAGAAGCAACTGTAGGTACAACGCTTATCGGGACTGTGACTGAAATAATACCTACAAGTAAAGCAAAGTAAATTATTGTAGGAAGCTGTAGGGTAATCACCATAGTTAAGGGGTCCGCACACCTCAATGTCTGTATCACCACAGAGTTTTGAAGCAAAAACCAAGAAAAAATTAAACTATTAGCAGGAAAGAGCTAAAGACTGCGACTAGAGCAAACGCGAAGCTGCTAATTCAAGGAAACACGCAGTGGGTAGGCATACTTGGGTTGTTTGTGAAAGAGGTGTGTTTGCTGAGAAATTCCCTGCGTCGTTTAACATTTGCCACAAGGTACTGCTTTGCTCGATGCCGGAAGGAATTGTCTTGCACGTCGGCCGCGTGCACAAACATGGCAATATACTCCAGAGGCAACTGCAGGCGTAGGAGACCCTGGTGCAGGACTGAGAGGAAGTGCAAACGGACGGCCGGGCATGGGTCCTATGGACAGAAAGTGGGATTTTAAAAAGTGCGGGGGTAGGCACAATCGAACTTGCTGGCCGAAGTCAAAAAGACTAATAGGGGTTTAAAAATCTACTAAAATCATCGAGCATCGGGAAATAAAACGGAGAAAATGCAGCGGCAAAGCGGGTTTGTTGTGGAGGGATGTTGGAAGGAGGGGAGCGGTTAAACTACAGATATGCCACTACTTTTGTTATAGCCCAACGGATAAATCTAAGAGAAGGAAAGCAGGTTCGGAAAGCAAACTCTTTACTAAAAGTCTGCGAAACCACGATTTATGAAAAAAAATGCAACATTGGTCTTATTTATTTGGAACCGTTTGCGTCCTGGAACATTCCGGCCTATGACCTGTCGGTCGTTGATTGAACTAGTCTTGCTCGAGAATGCCCTCGAGGAACGCCATGCGTATGAGCAAGACACTATGCTGCAGTTCACACTGATTGGCTACCTGGGTTAACGGTTGCACTCCGCAGCCCGCTTGGACTGCTGTACCGAGTGTGTTTAGGCCTACAATTGGCCCTAGGTCAGAAATCCACATAGGTTGCAAATAAATACCTCGTGCCTTTTCCTCCTGGGGTCCAAGATCAATTTCTTTGGCGGTTGGGTTCTCCTATCGCGCCTACGAGCGACAGGTAGCGTTGAATGACTGTCGACCATGAATGTATAGCATGGCAAGTCGAGTGCTACGTGGTTGTCTGTGGTTAACCGGTGCCTGACTTGGTTCGCATGCCTTTTAATTTTGCCATTTGCAGTTACAACCTCAAACACGATGTCGTTGGCTTTCCTGATAATGCCCTCAAGCCACCGTACCTCCCGGGATTTGTAGCTACGTGCAAACAAGTCTTCTTCTTCTTCTTCTTCTCCTCCTCCTCCTCGAAATTAAAGTTTTAGTAAGGAACCTCGGACCTCGGGATCTAGGTACTGCAGTCTTACATCAGGCTGTCGGTTCAGAACAAAGCTCAGCTGGTGCTTGGCCCTCAAAAAAAACTGTTTGGGTTGTTTTGTGTAGGCAAGAAGGAACGCGTTGAGATGATCCATCTTAATGACTGAGTTCCACATCTTTGTTACGGAGGCGGGAACCGCAATGCGCTCGCGGCCTAAGGTGAAAAGATCACGTGACAACAGGCGGCGCATCAGGCCAAGCCACCAGGGCAACAGGCACGGACATGGAGACAACCAAGCAGTGGGCGCTGTTGCTTCGAGAACACGTGAGGCCTAAATATTGCAGAAGTTCCGCGAGGGCCTTACGGTGTGGGAAACTAACAATCAACATGTGGCACACCATAGGTCAGAATGCTCTAGAACGCCCATCGCACGCCATTGGTAAGAATGTTTGAGAACAGCCAGAACCTCATAAAAAGCTAGAGCCGGTGAGGTAGATAATCCGCTAATTCTGTTGGCCTTGAACAAAGTGGTTGGTCTCAGAAACCGACCCTCTTGTCTATTCTCGCTTAGCTGTCGGGGTATAACCATTTTTTCATTGAATTCTATAAAATATCAACAAAAACCAGCCTAAAGCTGTTTAAACTAAGTTACTCACTACATCCTAAATGAGCTGAATATTCTTGACTAAAACACGACAGCTGTAAATGGATTAGTAATAGTGTAGCACTACTACTTCCGCCATCGATGCTACAGTAGGTTGCCAAACTCATGCAATCCTACGATTTTTACAAGTAACTC